AAGATATAATATCACAACTACCTCATGCCAATAGCCAAAGTGATCATCTTAATAAATTAAAAAAAAAAAAAACAACTTTATTTAAAAAATGAAAGCAGGTTATCTTAATAGAAAAATAAGTCAACTATATACTAAAGTTAAAATTCTAGTTTTTTTATATACAACTTTTTTTTTTACTTAGATAACTTGTTTTTATTTTTTAAGTAAAGTTATTCAGCATAAAATTATATATATATATATTTGTCAAAATATATTTTCGCAAATTTTTTACTAAGTCAAAAATAGGATTAAAATTAGAAAAAATTTTTTTTTAAAAAAAATTTTTAAAAAAAAATTTTTTTCTAACTTTAACCCCATTTTTGACTTAGTAAAAGGTTTGTGAAAATGTGTTTTGACAAATATATATATATAAAATTTTATGCTGAACAACTTTACTTAAAAGATAAAAACAGGTTGTCTAAGTAAAAAAAAGTTATACATAGGAAAGCTAGAATTTTTAACTTTAACATATAGCTAACTCATTTTTTTATCAAGGTAACCTACTTTTATTTTCTATATAAAGTTGTTCAGAGCATGCTATTACATGTAAATATCACTTTAGAATTGGTAGATTTTTATTTTTGGCGAAGTTACAATTTTGAAATATGCAAAAAAAATAAAGCTATAACTTGCCAAATAGAGTAAAAAATTTCTTCTTTTCATGCTCTATATAATTGTATAATTTAATTTTAAGTTATTATATAGATCGAAAAACATCAAAGCTGCACAGTTCATAGTAATTTTATATGTTTTTTATTATAATTTTATATATAAAAAATTTACATGTGACATATTGTGTAACTGGTATACAAAAAATTTTATACAGTATATAGCGATAGTAAATACAACCTTTATAAGTAAATATATATTTTTTAAAAAACTAAACTTTTTGGTATAATTATAAAAAAAATTAACAATGTATTAGCTTTAATTATTAACTAAAACATTTAAAAATTCTGTATACAAATACTATTTGTTTATAATTAATACAGTATACCAATTAGATTTTTATATTAATTTTGCACTTGATTGGTATTATATGGGGTAACTAATTACGAGTACAAAAGTTACACTCGTCTTTATAATTGAAACCCGAATAAAAAAGTACCTCTTTCGGCCTGGAAAAATTCTAAATGTAATTAATTGGTAAACCATAAATAAAAAAGTATTTTCTCATAAGATTTTAATAAAACTTCTAAATTCTTTATAATGCTAAGTAATCGTAAAGGTTTATTAATTGTTTTATATATGTCGTATATATTTATAATTTTGCAACTGAATTAAGCTACCAAGTCTAACCAAATTTTTATTTAAACGTTATTACAACACCATATGTTATATGTATACATACTTATATATACACATATAAAATATACATATCGATACGTATACACTTTCAAATCTACTACACTATTTTACACTATTTTAACCAATTAAAAAATTTTTTGATATTTAAGTTTGAATCGATACTGTATATAATTTACAATACACACGTAAGCACTTTAAAGAATTACTAAACTTGTAAATACGAATTTTTTTTTGGAAAATTCAATTGGTGATCTTTGAATAGACCGGATTTTTTTTTTTTTTTTTTCTTTTTTTTAACTGTGACCAATAAATTCGGCATCTTCAACAATTGCTATGTGATATATCGGCATGCATAGTCCGCCCAATCATGCAATTATAATAGGTGACCACATCTATATGTGACAAAATTCGTAAGTGACGATACAATTTTAGTAAAGAGGGCATGAAATATGTTATTAGTAATATTGACTATGGAACAAAAATTTCGGATATTAAATTATTAATATAATTAATTTATTAATATTTTTTTTGTCTATTTATTTATTATACCTTTTCTTATTTACCTTCTATGTATTAAAAAAAAAATAGATTCAGTCACATGGGTTTAAAGTCGATTGCATACACTGTGATGAATTTGGAATAGTTACTGTTATGAAGCAGATACGTAGAAAGAACAAAATGCCTATTGTGAAATGAATAAGGGATGTTATCGGCTTATTCAGCCATTGTATTATTATATAATCTATATACAGCCTAAATCATCGCCATTTTAGGCAATTCAAAAATACTGTATAGCAAGATATATATGTGTAATAATAATAAAATTAAATACCGATACAGCATAACAAAAAGCAATAATTTCTCGAAAGCTGCTACTTTCAATTGACTAAAGAATAATTTTTGCTATTTTTAACAACATCTAGCTAGCTTTTCGTTGTTTCTTATATCTCATCAAACGTTAACGTTAAGCTTATCATTAAACGATCTCACAATACTATAGTAGATCATACGTGTATACGGAGTACTTTTAAAATTCTCGATTTGCTTATATAGGTAGATATAAGTTCAAGCTTTCATTTCAAATCAATATAAAATTTAATTTAATAAATTTTGCTATATGTTCAACTGTAAAGAGTGTCGAATAATTTTTTTCTTTGCTCAAAATTACAAACAGAAAATTGTAATGTTCACGTCAATGAACGCCAGTCTATTCATTAAATTGGTATCACATGACGCGGACTCATATTATAAGTGTTGGATCTATAACTAAATAGATCAAGAGCAATAGATTAAAGTACATATGTACTTTAGATAGCAAGAATCGTATTGAAACCATAATAACGTGTAGGGATTGTATTTGGGTAGATGTGACATAGTAATTTACCAGGATAATCCGGGTAATTTAATAAAATCCGGGTAGAGGTTTTCCCAATCTCTAATAACATGTAAACTTTTATATTGAACAGGTTTTACTTAGAAGGTAAAATAGGTCAGTAAAAAAGGGGTTGGGTACAGATCAAGCGTTTAAATTTTAAAAGATAATTTGTCTTCGCATTTTATTCAGCATCGTTTAACGTCCACTTACGTACCTAACCCTTTAAGTAAAAAATTTGATTTATTAGTAAATATATATTTTATTATTAATTTTAAAGACATAATTAAAGCTAATTGCCGAATTTTTTTTACTTGGTAAGAGGTAACTGGATGCTAAGTGTAAAATTTTGTGTTGCTGAAAAGGGGAAAAGCAGATTATTTTAGAAAAAAAAAAGTTGGCCATTTTTTTTTTTAACTACCTATTTTCATTCAAGTAACTTATTCAGTATAAAATTTGCATGTAACACAGTAAGGCCATACAAATTTAATTACTTGGTTTTCATATAAAAAATTTTTTTAGAAGTTTTCAAATTTTGACCTGGCCGGGTTATGAAAACCAATTAATTAATTTTGCATGGCCTAATGGTGATTTCAAATTTTAATATCACTTTCCATAATACTGTAATATTTTGTAAGCAAAATATCTATCTTTACAAAATTTTAAAATGTTGTCCTAAGGTATCTTAGTCTACCGCACTTTGATCTATTTAGTACCAAAATTGAAATATGTAAGCGGAAAAACTTAAAGTATATAGAAATTTTATATATTTTTATTATAATTTTACTATAATCCAACATTCTATGTGACATATTCCCTGACTGTTATGGATTACTTTCTTTTTTATCTTCCTCAGTTTGAACACTTTCACCTTTTAAATTCTCAATCTTGTTATTGATGAGATTATGAAGTGCAATCACAGCCCGAATTAAAGAGGACAAATAAATAACTAATAACTGATCATTTGTTTTTACAGAGAATGATTTCACCGTTTCGCTAATATTAAGATTTGGTAACAAATTAAAGATATCCTGGAGGTTATAAATAATCTGATGATTTACAGGTAAAGAGCCATTAACCACTTTTTGAAGATAATCTCGAATTTCTTCTAATCGAGATTGTAAACCTTTCAATGAATTTAATTGGTCTGTGACTCGAGTGGAAAGTGTGCCAACCGCGTTATCCTTGATATCACGAAGAAGATGTTCGACACCTATTTCTTCCGCTTCTTCTGCTTCGATTTGAGAAGGGACATGCATGAACGTCTTAGTCGCGGCGGTACCATCCTATTAATATTATTTAGTATATATAATTAACCTTTTTTTTAAAATCAACATTACAAAACTTAATATATAACTACATCTTTAATTTCCTCGATAGCAAAATATGCATCCGTTGGTATTCCAATATCCTTGGGCTTCACATCTACAATTACTAGAACTGGATTTGGCGTATGCCTTTTGAATAATTCATTAATTTCTAAATCAGATGCACGAAGTTTTGGCCCACTATGATACCATCCGATCATCTTTTCTCTAGCTAACCATTAAAAAAAAGGGTAATTAGTATGTATGTATACATATATATTTATTATTAAAAAGAACCTTTCGGCAAAGTACTATACCATTAACTTTCTTGAACATATCGTTCATTGATTCTACGTAATTGTGATCCAAAAACCACACCGATGGATCTCGTTCGTCCTCTTCAAATGGAACTATATTTGAAATAACATTAATTTTTTTTTAAATATGATAAATCGTTGCTAAGTTATACCTTTGAAGAAAAAAAAAGTTGCGTACCAGCAAAACTATTTGCAACGTTAACAGTTTTGCCATTATTTTGACCCAAAAGAACGCCAACTACACGCTTTTTAGTGTTCTTGGCCACACGGTTGTAATGATCTACAACAGAAAGTAATACCAGTGGGTGAACGATTACTGTCGTGTTTTGGGTAATTGGTATCGGGTTTGCAGTTGGCATCTTATAATGGACACAGTCAAATCTGTTTACGAAAGCGCGATTGGACTAATTGATTTATCGTTATGTTAGGTTCTATTAATAGATCAACTTTCTAAAGCTTGCTATATCCAAATATCGCTTACACCCAATCATCTTTTTTGGGTTGCATGCATAACGACTTTAGAGTGATAAGTATTATCATATCACATTCGTCGTATCATGCACGTGTAGAAGTTACCCTTAATGCCGATTTTTTTTTATACGTGCTTTGGAGATCGATGATCATGTGATATAAAAATTTTTCAGTGCTATGTGATATCTAAGTATAGCGGTAAAGTATAATAGGCATTGAAAGTAGAATATAAAGCAGTGGAAGTTTGTGTGCAGCTTATACTTGATAAATTGATACGTAATATATAAGACATATTCCACAATTATTCATTCTGAAGCTGAAACTCCCTCTCTGTTTTTCAATCGTTTTATCTTCCTCTTTCTTTCGCGCCTTTGAATCTTCCCTCCAACTGCTGCAAGCGATTAGAAACTGAGTTTCAGGTTGATTTATTTGAGCTCAACTTTTGTGAATCCCTTGTTAGTTATCCTTCCATACCTTTCCATCTTAAAGTGCCCCTCTAAAAAAAACACACACACATATATACATACATATATATACGACACTCATAAAAGGCATTTTTTTTTTTTTTTTTCTTACCCAACAAAATTAAGTGAATATATTTAATCTAGTAAAATGGCGGCAAATCACCACCACCACATGACAAATAATATGGCTAGCACGCATAGTTTACACTCTTCAAACGTTGTGGGCGTACACTATAGAGTTGGGAAGAAAATCGGTGAGGGAAGTTTTGGCGTCATCTTTGAAGGTAAATCAGCTATTTTTTTTTATTTGGTAACATTTAACCTTTTCTTTTGATACTGTCACAATGTTACTTTTCTCGGAGTTTGAAAATGCCTTTGATAGGATTTCATTTGCAGTGCTGATTGACTTAGAATATGTTTATAGTAAACGAAAAAAAAAAAATTTTTTAAAAACTTTCAAATACTATGATCCTATACATTTGATATATACGCCGAGTTTTAGTTTATTAGGCTAAACTGCTTAGTATCTGTTTAGAAACGTTCATAAAAATGATATTTTTATAATTTATTCTTGCAAGAAACTTGTTGGCTTTTATTTGATAACGTTTTATCAGAAAGACAAAATAATCATTTCAGATCTAGTTTTCCACAGCCATCAGATCTTGCTATCTATTTTTTAATATTCCATCATTCATTTAATGCATTTATTTACTTTGTTGAACTTCAGGGACAAATCTGCTAAATAATCAACAAGTTGCCATAAAATTCGTACGTCTTTTTTTTTTTTTTTTTACAGTTAATAAATATTATCTATGACCAAAGGAATAGTTATTTATTAGTTAAACTACAATTCAAAAACTAGGAACCACGAAAAAGTGATGCACCTCAACTCCGAGACGAATACAGAACATATAAAATTTTGGCTGGCTCACGTATGTAATTTTTGAATCAATATTACCTGGAAACCTTTAATATAGATATTTAGTAATTCTAATTACCGTTTTTCACATATAGCGGGTATACCGACTGTATACTATTTCGGCCAAGAAGGATTACACAATATACTAGTCATTGATCTTCTTGGTCCAAGCTTAGAAGATTTGTTTGATATGTGCGGAAGAAAATTTGGTATTAAAACAGTGGTTATGGTAGCAAAGCAAATGGTGAGTGAATATTAAGTCATATTAAGACCATATACATAAAATATACATATACATATATACATATTTATATATATATATATATTTTATTAATGTAATTTCTTATTATTTTATAATTATTAGCTTACACGGGTACAAACCATCCATGAGAAGAATCTCATCTACCGTGATATCAAACCAGATAACTTTTTGATTGGTCGTCCGGGGACGAAAGCTGCCAACGTAATTCATGTTGTCGATTTTGGCATGGCCAAGCAATATCGAGACCCAAAAACAAAACAACATATTCCATATCGAGAAAGAAAAAGTCTAAGTGGAACTGCTAGGTACATGAGTATCAATACACATTTAGGAAGAGGCAAGTCATTAATTTGTACGAGTTTTTTATTAATACATTTGCAACACCTATTTCATTATTCATTGTATTGATAGTGTAAAAATACGTATTTAAATGCAATACCCTACAGAGCAATCGAGACGTGACGATTTAGAAGCTCTTGGCCATGTGTTTATGTATTTTTTAAGAGGTGGCCTACCATGGCAAGGACTTAAGGCAGCCACAAATAAGCAAAAATATGAAAAAATTGGTGAAAAAAAGCAATCAACGCCAATCAAAGAATTATGTGAAGGTTTCCCAGGTATGTTTACAATTATACCTTAATAAATATTTTTCTTATTCATCATTTTATTTTATTTTATTTTTTTTTATTTTATTTTATTTTTTTTTTTATTTTATTTTATTTTTATTTTATTTTATTTTATTTTTTTTTATTTATTTTTATTTTATTTTTTTTTAGAGGAATTTGGTATTTACCTTAATTATGTCCGTAAGCTTAATTTCGAGGAAAATCCCGATTACGATTTTTTGAGAGAACTTTTCACTAAAGTCTTAAAGAATTCTAATGAAGTAGAAGATGGTGTTTATGATTGGATGCTATTAAATAATGGCAAAGGATGGGAGGCAGGCTCGGTAAGAATTGTTTATTAATTTTTTTTTCTTTCTTTTTTTCTTTTTGGTTTGGTTTCTTAAAATAATGTTTGGAGTCATTATGACAATTATAAAGAATATTTTCAAAGATTATATTTATCTTCCATCGTCTTTCGCTTTTTGGTTTGTGATCCACACACATCAATAGCGGAAAGATGACGGTATTCTTAATCCTGAAACTAACACCCACGTAACACTTCATGGTACCTCCTCTCAGCCATATAGTACGAGCGCAGGAATCCATCAATCTTCTCACCTTCACGTTCATCATGGGTCATCTGATCCACGCCTTCATCGTTCATCACTTAATCGTGGTCCTTCCATGAACCGTAGTCAACAACAAACTCCACCTTCACCTGCATTGGTTCATACTAACTCTAAAGCACAACGAGGGACAGGAAAGGCGCACAAACATAACAGTGCAGTTTTGAATTCTGGGGTCGACGATTTGAATAATCCGTACTCTGGTCGTGCTGGTATGAACGGAGGTAACGGTGGAAACGTCAATGGTATCCAAGGAAATAATGGTGCTGATTCAAACTCTCACCGAAGGCGAGGAATTTGGCAAAAGTTCATCGGAGTTATTACATGTAGTATGTGTAGCTAAGTTTTTGATTTTTCTTTCTTTCTCTATGGTTGCACTCGTATGTAAATTTATTTTTTATTAATTAGAAAAAAAGATATTAAAAATTCGAAATAATTCTTGTCTTATCATTCGCAATCATCCATCTTATCGTTTTTGTTGGTTATTTGTTTATAATATTCATAAACATTTGATAGTGTAGTACACAATTTTGGACTTTAAAAAAAATTTTTTTTATAATAATGGGTTTTTTTAGTGCAACCTAACTATTCTAATTAATTAAAAGAAATCTATATGTATACAAACTCTCTTATTCTAATTTTTTCGTTTTTTTTTCCTACCGTGACACTCAATCTGTTTCCTAATGGCCAATTATCCCTAAAATTCTCCATCTTTATAGGTTGACAACGAAAACTCTCCAAATTTCTCAAAGGCAGCAAAAAACCAAGAAAACAAAATTATTTTTGAATGCTATTGCACTTTTGGATTTATATTTTCCTTTATAATAACACCGCCAGTAACTTCTGAATCTCGTTTTATACAAACATTGTTTCGCATATCGTTTACATTTCTCAAAATTACCTACTTTTTTAATATTTCGGCAAACAGAATATGATTTCGATAATGGTGGATTTTCTTTACATTACTTAAAGTTGTGAATTTTGAAAATTCTGTTTGGATGAGTTACCACCGAACGGAAGAAACAAAAATAAGTAAAAAAAAAAAAAAAAAAAAAAAGAAACTATATACGAGCGCATCAATTTATTGATGAATTTTTTTTTTTTGGGGGCTTGGGTTTTATAAATTTATTATTTTTTTTTTTTTTTTAAGGTGCCCTTTTTTTAAAAAATTTTTTTTTTTTTTGTTGCGCTCTTTATTTGTTTTTTTTTTCTTTACAAATTTGTGTAATACTTATTGTGAACTAATAGATTTTGGTTTTTCATCTTTTGGATATTAATTTTTTTTTCTTGGAGTAAATGTAAAATGAGATTATAAGTGGGCCTATTTTATTTTTCTTTTTCTTTTTAAAAAAAAAA